AATCCGCAATAAATAAATAAAATATTAATTTAATTCTATGAACATTAATTTAATTAAATAAATATCCAGTGAAACCTATTCAGTGTTCATTTTATAGGGAGTATAAGAATTAAGCAAGGCAATTAAATTCGATTTCAATGTTATTCAGCAAATTAAAGGGATATTAGCTTCATAAGAATTCCTGCATGTAATAATCAGAAATTTAACGAAAAAAGCATTTCCCATAGAAATTAAATGCAAACAAATCTTTTTCCATGACGTTTGGAAGTTCTAAAATTCCATTTCGTATTGGTAGGTTCCCCAAATTCCATTACACACTTGTTACAATTGTCAAAATTTAGAACATTGCTTCTAAGGGTAATGGTATTTGAGGAAATATTTTTTATTTCATTTTTAAATGAAGAAGGCAGTTTCTCTGTTGAAAAACAGACATTTCAAGTTTGTACACAAAAGGTGGAGTATACAAATCACTGTATGCTGAAAATAACAAGCATGGCAGAATGAAATAGCCATATGTCACAGATGGCGTTGCCGAGAAAGCCAATCAGCGCGCTCAAAATCTCTTGGGGATACTATGTGTGTAAAGAGAGTTTACATGCGTCCCGACAAAACCATACTTCAAGTAGGACTCATGGTATTGTCTGTTAAAAGTTGCATTTTTCTTTGATGTTGAAGGCTCTTCGGTCTCTTCACTGGACCTTCTCTTTTTTCCAAGGAAACTTTCTAAGGTCGTCTGTTTTGTATTCATGTTTGCTAACTTGTGAGTTAAATTTGTGCAGACACAATACACACGTACACCAAGCACTGTTAAACCTGAGAAAGTACCCGTGAACAGAGAGAGGAGTGATAGACGCTTTCTTTTTACAAAAAACAAACAAATCCGCATAAAGCACACAAAACAGTAGAGAGGAATCATGGTCACGTGGTCTTTGGGCGACTAAATGGCAGACGAGCCAGCTTCTCTTTTATAGCCTTACTATACACTCTCGCTGTGTGAGGCGTTAGAATCGAGAGAGAAGACGAAGTTCTCCATTAGTTCCAATGCAAATGTCGCGTCGCGCTTTCGTTTTTTATTTATGACATTTACAGTTACGATGATTGTTTTTTTTTATTAAAACTAATTGAATGAGAAAATAGTTGCAGAAGATTTATTTTTTTTTTTTACTTTTTAAAACATTAAAAAAATTATGTTACTACCTTTGGGGGCATATTTTTTTAAATAAATAAAATTTTAATGGAACACAGATATTTTTAATTTGGGGTATAAACCTAGGAATTTAAATTCAGTTTCAATGAAATGGGCGGACCGGTACCATTTGATCCACAGACCGGTACCGGTTCGCGGACCGGGGGTTGGGGACCACTGCTTTAGACGACAAAGAGCTGAAGATTGTCGCTTCTCTTAGAATGTACCATCTAAAGGTCACACTTGCTAACCTCCTGTCTGGCTAAAATTTTCAATCGAAATTTGTTGTTTTAGAAAGGGTTATAAACACAATCATAGCCTTATTAACACAGTAATAACCTTTAAATAAGATAATCATACTTTTAAGCCATCATATGAAACAAAGAGAAAAGTATTATTAATTAAATTTTTTTAAAAAATATCGAAATTATCGTTCTTTACAGAATGGAAACCTATACTTCGAATGTTTTTTACTTTAGTGCCAGGGCATGTGTAGCAGTTTTAAGCTCTCAACTTCTTTTTATTACACATTTTAGTAAAGAAATATTTAATTTTTGTTTTTCAAGTGATAACAAACCTTGCGTCGTGGTAGGCAATCTCATAATTATATTAAATTTACAAAGCAAATAATCATACATGAAAACATAAACTTTTCTACCACTAGAAAAAATTTATCCAAAAAGGCATTCGCGGCATTTGTGCTTAAATTAAGTGGATATTCCTAAAGTTAGCTACCACTTCAAGGTTTTTTAAAAAATAGCATAGTTCCATGATTACAGGTCTAAGTTACGTATACTTGATGAAAGTGGTTGGAAATAAATTATTTTTATTTATTTATTATCTCTTTGATTAGTCAATCATAACTACCAGTAGGATTTACACGGTAAAACGAAAAGTTTCCATGCTATCTTTTTAAATACAAATTTTTCACTAATTTCGTTTTTTCGGTTAAATTCTTTGAGTTAGCAAATAATCTTTAATAACTGAGGTGGCCTCGTTAACCCGGTTCTCGTTTGAATTATTTTCTAATTTACACAGTTTCTTTCCATTATCTTTCAATTGTAAACGGAAAAAAAAGTCTTTAAAAAGTTGCTGATTTTAAAATCTTTTAATGAAATTTTGAATTTTATTAGCAGCTACTTTTTGTATTTTTAATCGCCTGTGGCCGTGGCAACACTGCGTTATACAAATGCCTACCAAATTACAGCGGGAGAAAAAAAAATTACGTCTTTTTAAATCATTTATTTCAAACGCATGCTAATATCTTTCCGATAGGTGAATTAATCTTTTTATTCAAGTTTTCACATGTTTATTATTATGTATTATTATTACTCATTTTAAAGTTTTGCTTCATTTCTATAAAAGTTCCATCTTCAATTCATCTGTTACAAGAACTAACCATAAAATTACGAGACAAAAATTTAAATATTTAATTATTCAATATCAAATTATCATTAAACAAAATTTAAAATTAGGATTTTTTAAACTTTCATTAAAGAATTTTGATATTATTTTAAAGCTCGTTCTTTTCTTCATGTTTTACGTTTACATTAAAAACCTTAATTTGAGTAATAACAAAATATCAATTCAGAACTAGTCGTTTATCATATAAGTGTTATTTCTAAACCGTTAAAGAAAATGGGTGGATCGTTTAAACATCTTACATTAAAATTAAAAGGTCAACCTGTAGCTCGACAAAAGAATATTTGAAGTCAAGGTTCTTGCAACTATTCAGCAGAAACATTTATTACATTTTACTCTTGTGAATCAACATTATATTAGGAAAAACCTGTTTTCTCATTCAATAAAATAAAAAACGAATTTTTTAAATTCGTAATTTTAATTAAATATTTAGAAAACAGCTAAGAGAGTTATAAAAATTTGGGGCTGCTTGTGCCCTGGAAAAGAGAAAAAAAATCGTTGTAAACCCATTTCACACCAAGCTTATTGTTTTCGTAAAAAAAAAAAATAATAATCTAAGTATATGTTAATATTTTTATCTTTATTTAACAAATTTGATTCATATAATGATTTTGACCACCGATACAACATAAATAATTCAAATAAATATAAAAAAGACCTCACAATATTCTTTAAATATATTAAATGTTTATGCAGTCGAAATAATTAATTCCTGCTTACAGTTGCAAAATCAGTTGTAATTTCGCTACCACTATGTTTAATCTTAACCTGTTAAAAGAAACGACAGCCATGCGTTGTGTGTTTCTAATATGGTTCATACACGAGCAAAGTTTGAATCTAAAATTTACCACTTGCGATTTTTTAAATTAAATTGGTAGCTAACTCGGAATATTATCTAATTATAATAGTTATATCGTACACATTCCATATAATCTTAAACAGAGGATGTAACAACCGGTAGCTAAATATACATATGCAGGTTTGTGTAGAGATTACAAGTGCAGCTAACAGTTGTAATATCAATTGTAATTTCGCTACCACTATGTTTATTCTTAACCTGTTAAGCAAAATCGGCAGCCATGAATTGAGTGTTTCTAATATGGCTCATACATGAGCAAAGTTTGAATCTAAAATTTAGCAGTTTTGTAAACTAAATTGGTAGCTAAGTCGGGATATTATTTTATTATAATAGTTATATCATACACATTCCATATAATCTTAAACAGAGAATGTAAAAACCGACAGCTAAATATATACATATGCAGGTTTGTGTGCTGGTTACAAGTGCAACTTATAAATCACTAGAATCTAAAATTACGAATTTGTAATTTGTAAAACTAAATTGGTAGCTAACCCAGGTCAAAATTTTTGATGGTTTTCCATTGATGGACCAACATAATCTTGATGGTTATCATCAATAATTCCATCATGAACCATTACACTTTTAGATGGGGACCAACATAAGTCACCTCAAAGCAGGAATTCGGACTGATTTATGACGGTTCAACATAAGAATAGCAACTTGTTTTGATGGTTTGTTCATATTAAACCATCAGAAATTTCCATCATAGTTTCTTAGAAATCAAATATTGTAACAATCATGAACCACCATCACTTCAATTTAGTAATTCGGACTGATTTATGATAGGTCAACACAAAAAAAACTAAAATTGCTTGGATGGTATATTCTTTCTGAACCAACAAGAATTATTATTAAACCATCATGGTAATGCATCGTTGTACCATTAAGGACCCTCATTAATTTCCATCATTGTATCTAAGAAATCAAATGTTGGAACGATCATGAACAACCATCATCTCTATGTAGGAATTCGCACTGCTTTATGATGGTCCAACATAAAAGAACCCAATTTGTTTTGATGGTATATTCCTGAGAACCAACAAGAATTCCCATTAAACCATCATGAAAATACATAGTTAGAACCATCATGGATCATGATGGATTGTTGATCCATCAGAGTCAAACTTCTCTTGATGGTTAACCATCATAGTATTAAATTAGCGCTTTCCATCATGGAATGATGGAAGTTTGTTGGTATATCAAAAGCTATGAAAACATAATGGAAAATAATGGAAGATGGTGACCATCAAATGATGTTGGACCATCATGAGTCACACCTAAACCATCATAAACCATCAAATTTTTTTGATTGGACCATCAAAAATTTTGACTTGGGACAACAAAAAAAGATCGAAAATAGTTTACCCATTAATTAGCTCACTTGCGCGGCTTTCAAAGTGCGCGTGGTTTCGTAGCAAAAATAAAATTTTGAATGAAATGTTAAAAAGAGTTTTAAATTAGTTTTTTTTTATATATATTTCATCAAATTAATATTTATTTTGACGTCAATCATCTCTTACTTTTTAAAGGGAGATGAAACCACAAGCCTTGCTGCTGTTACCAAAGCGAATATGGCCGTTGGAAAATTGCTGAGATCCGAGAGCCAGGTAGAGCACAAATAAATCAAATCTAATTCAGATTAAATAAATCTAATTAAGTTAATCAAATCGAGTTTAGATTAAATAAATGATAAATTTTTTAACTCACATTTTCTCAACACCTATGTCACAAGTTTATGAAAAGTTTTTTTTTTTTTTTTTTTTTTTTTTTTTTTTTTTTTTTAAGTACGCTGAAATCTACGTTTGAAGGTTAAATGCAGTATAAAACTTTTTTTTTTTAAAATTTGATTTACGATTGAAAATTTATTTTTTTTAAATTTGATACGATAAGAATTCGTTAAAAAAAAATTTATGACCTTTTATATACTATTGTCTTACTTTCATGCTTTGCTTAGATTTTAAGAAAAAAATTGCGTTCATTTTTAATAATAATTTTTTTCTTTTAAGGATCAAAAAGATGAAACTGGACTGAAGGAGGAATTAGATGGATTGATTGCAAAAATAAAGGTAAATTCCTTTTTTTGTTGTAATATCCAAATTCCACAACATAATGCTGTAACTGTAACAAAAATCAAAGCTCGCATATTTCTCTAAAAAGTGCAAAAGTGCAAACTTAATTGTAGACATGTTACAAACCTACTATGATTAGATTTCATTTCAGAATAATATTCAGGCAGGGATGTCAAGTTTCTGAATATATAAAATACCCAGATAGTAAAAGCATTACTTTTTTAATTTTAACTTAGTTTGAAAAGAAGAATATTTGTGGCTACCACTACTTATTAAAAATTAAAACATGTATATATACTTTCGTAGCGTTGTTATAATATAACTTCGATTGCAACTAATTAATCGATTATGCTTGTAAAACAGGGCTGCCGATATCTACCTTATTTTCAAAATGTTTTATGAAGTGCTGAACAATAAGAAACGAAATCTTTCAGGTTTTTGGTTCCTTAGTTTACATTTTAGAAAACCTCATAATCTTAAAAGACTCCTACCTGAAGTGGGTTTTATATAAGCTTTTGAATTACTTATATGTAGTGGTGCGGAAAATAATTTTTTTTCAAATTTACTAACAAAGAATAATATTAGGGTTCCTAAAAAATTCTATCCTCGAAAGAACACGCCCCTTTTTGTACAAGTACACAAAAGGTGCCTTTACTAAAAAAAGAAAGAAAAATAGAAGGGTTATTTACCTTTAAATGCATATATCAGAGATACCACTTAATTTTGTTTGATACTTGCGTTACAAGTTTGAATAAGTATGCATATGCTCTCCATACATGTTGTGTTTAAGCTAGAACTGGCTAGAGTATTACCGTAAAGTCAAAAGGAAAATACCCTATTCCACTTTCTTTCATAAAAGAACCTTTTGCATTACTGTAAAAAACGGCTTGTTCTTTCGCAGACAGAACCTTCTAGAAGACATAATGCATTACAACATAAACTTGGCTACTACAAAAAAAATTTCTCAAAAAAACCTAGAAAGTTAGCAACTCAGGAAATACAATAAGAAACCTTACACCATGGTTGTAAAAGTTCACAAACATGCTGCATCGATATATAAAAACTATTAATAAATAGTAGCAGTTACGATTCTCTCAAAAAATTATATAAACATACCTGCCAACTTTTAATCCTTTCCATTATAATTTTTCCCAGTGGTATTAAAGGAATNTGTTGTCGGTATTTCGGGCCTATTTGGCACAGGCATGAGAGACTGCTCCAAATGATTTAGTTTCTCAAGTAGTTCTTTATTTTTCCTTTCATCTTCTTTAATTCTCCTTCCCATGTCTGCTAACTTTTCAGCCATTTTGGTTTCAAAATCCGAGCATTCCTCATCCGTCGTTGAACCACGTGCACGTCTTTCGGTCAGCCGCTTTCCGCCACGTCCGTGTTGGTGATACGTAGCCATTGTTGCGTGATTGCGAATATTAACTTCAGCAGTGATGTTAACGTAAATTGAAAGCTACTATATCGGGCAGAATCATTTAACTTAACTTGCATCTACTTATACTCTTAAGTTAATTCAGAATTAGAAAAACATACATGATTGCAAGAGTATGAAATAGGTATTACTCACTCAAAAGACACCAATGAAAATCCGAAAGTTCTACGACCTCCTCGCGTCTCGATCAAAAAACGGTCACCTATCAAGAGCACATTTTTCAAATTTTCGTTAATCTAATTAAATGAATTTCAGTTCAGATTTAAATATTACTTTTTATTTTTTATATTTAAAGTGATAACAAAATATTTACATTAATATTTTTATTTTGGTAAAATAAATTCGCTTTATGATTTGGCCCATCACTACTACAATATATAAATACTATATAGATAAAATAGAGTCTCAATAGTTTCAAATATTACAGAAAGTTTTAACCATAAGGCGTAGAAGGTAACTATGGTATAAACATACCTAACACCTACTGCTGATTATCTGCAGTTGCTACGAAAGTTTTTTTCCCGAGTGGTTGCAAATATGATATTTAATTCACTATGGCACACATTTTAATTTTAAAAAGTTAATTTAATTCTCACAAGTGTAAGCATTTTAAACAAAGTGTATTTTTCTTACATTTTTTTTCGTTACATAAAACTTTACAAATTTAATTTGGAATTTAACGTAGTAAATATTAAAATTGCGATTAAATCCATCAATCCTGAAGTTATTATGTTAATTGGATGGAATTGACGTAAAATCTAAATAATTTCAAATGTGTGGATAAATACTTATATTTAAAAAAAAAAGTTAAATGGTACTTTTTAAAAATTATCTAGTTTAATTTATATTGCTGTATAAAATTTTATTTTCTCATTTAGAGTGATTAAAAACCATTAAAATCATTAGGATTTTTTTAAAAATTTTGTCAGGCTTTCACACATATAAGGCCTAGTCCTAGTGTTTTGATTTTATTGGGCACCTGGGTCGCAAAGCTACCACATATATAAGGCCTAATATTCAGAGTTCTTACATATGTTATCTTGAATTCCTTATGCTGTGGTGGTTAAAATTATTTTAATCAAAATTTTTCAAACTCAGAATAACATATTAAAGCATTAAATAGGCTTCCACTAGTAAATATCGTTCGTAAAAATTAACAGGTATGTACTAAAAGTGTGTAATACGCATTTGTTCTTACTATATATCAATAAAGACGATAAATACTGATGAAATTTTAACAAAACTGGAATAACGCCACTATTATTATATTCTCATAACTTCCAACTTTCACGGTCACTTGGAAATATTTTACAAAATGTTACCTAAATAATAATTAAAATAGGAAGAATTTTTAAAAAAATATTAATAAGGTACTCTGCCAACACTTAAAATTATTAACTCGCCTAGCTTCACTATATGCATATGTTTGAATCAGTAGTGTCTGTAAAACTTTAAAATTTAAGATTCATACATATTGTTATAAGAGGACCCGGATAGCCTGGCTGGTAGGGCGTTGGACTCGTGTTTGTGAGAACGGGAGTTCGAATCCAGACGGCTGAAGAATCCCAGTGTGTTTAATGGTGACTGGTGCACGTTAAAATCTGTGGAGGTCACAAAGTCCTCCCAGTTCCCATAACAAGTCAATACCTCTGGGGGTACTGATCCATGAGCTCCCATATCTTCTGGAATGTGATCAAAATTACAAGGATACGGACGTGAACATTGGTAGTCGTAACCCCAGAATTGAGTCGGCTGTTCAACGACGGTTATAAAATAAAATTAAATAAAATAAAATATTGTAATAAGATGAACATTTCTACCAAGACAAGATGACGGTATAAGTTAACGGGTATTTATTTTGAATTTAGCTCTAGATTACCCAAAGAAGTCATTTCGACTGCTTTTTAATTTCAATTAGAAAAACAACGATGAATATACTGACACAATTTCTTAGAATTGTGTGACTTTTTGTACAACATATAATTTTTCTCATTGTTAATATTTTACTAATAACTTGTTATATAACAGTAAATAATATAAAAAATATTAAAAATTAATTTTTAACAAATTTCTTTACACATTAGTTATTCTTTCACAATCCAGTCATGTTGACTACTTTTCGGCAATATAGATATATACTATATACAAAGTTTCAGTCTTTCTAGTGTTAATAAAATGAGACAACACTTTGACTTGCCAGTGTGCGAAATAAGTATTTTAATATCGCTAAATAAGTATTTTGTTCATCTAAAGAAAATATTTATTAACTTATAAAGTAAATAGGAAATTGTATTACGTATTCTGTAATATTCAAAACATATTGCTTTTTTAATGTGATATAATTATATTAGAAGGCACAAGCAGCATCAGCCGATAAGAATTTGGAAGAAGTATGCGGAAACATGGCGGATATTCCAAAAATTCCAGTGAGGACCAAAAAAATTTTGAAAGGACACTTATCCAAAGTTACAGCCGTTCACTACTGTGGAGACAATAGGTAATGTATCAGAAATATATGCATAGAACATTTTGTATTAATGAGTTAGATATTAACAAAAAATTTTTATTGCCATGTTTATGAATACAATCGTTGTAATTAAATTGATTTTTCAATTTGGAAGGAACGTTTTCCCGCGCAAGAAAAAGGCACCAAGTGTAACATAATCTTAACATTTAAAAAAAAGTTACCCTACATTGGAAGAAAAAAACTTAGTAAAATTACTACATTACTGAAACAAAGTAAGGTTCTGTCTTGAAGAAGAGTTAGCGTCATGAAGAAGGATCTGCTCTCTGACAAATCTTCATAATGAATGCCGATTTTTGAGAGCTCTTTTCCCTTCAACTTAGAGCGCTCTCTCAACTTTTTCCACCTTTATAATTTTTGAGGCAGATAAAAATTTTACAATATCAAGTATATGGGCCGGGACACCCTGGTTGGTAGGGCACTGGACCCATGTCCGAGAGTTCGTGGATTCGATCCCCACCTGCCGAAGTCTCCCCGTGTAGTAAATGGTGACTGATGCACGTTAAATCTGTCGAGTCGCAAAGTCCTCCATGTTCCCATAGCAAATAATACCTCTAGGGGTAGGGGAGAGTGGGGTCAATTGTAACAGGGTACGATTGGGTACGAACAGGGTACGAATTTCGAGTGTCGGGTTCTAGATTTGGTTCCTAGGTGGCGCACAAGGTGTATTTAATAAATCTACATGTACACACCTGCTGGTAACCATTTTTATGTAATTTTGAAAGTGTTACATCACAAAAGATATTTTCACGCTACGTAAGTACTTTTTTTGGTATTAGAATATTATATTGTAACAAAGTAATTTTGTTTAAACAAATAAAAATTATTAACCGAATATGTAAGTGGACACCTTAATTAACATTTAAAAAAAAAAGATTAGTTTTGTTAATTAACTAGCATTGTTTTTAACAAATGAAGCTGAAATGGCGCCTTGGGGACGATTGTAACAATAAGTAAAGGGACGATTGAAACAGCTGAAAATAAAATTCATAATTTCAATTGCAATTGCAAACGCCACACAACAACTACCCTTCTAAGCAAATTGACTTTTATTTGCACTCTACACATCGACAACAGCGCCACCTCACCGCTCCCATATCCAATTTGCGCATGCCCGCCTTTTAGTGAGTTTCAAGGTTAAGTTGCCACTATTTAATTTACAACCCTCGTATTTATACATTGAAGCTACCACAAAGAAATATTTTCTTCAACGACTGTAGAAGTTGGCAGTAATGGAACGCGATATCAGAGTTACATACATCGTTTACATCAGCGTGTCATTTATGTCAACTGTTTATGGCACTATTTCAGGTGAAGCTGGTAAACTTTCTTCTGTGATCTGATGTAGTGTTTTATTTCAAATTAATGTCAATTAGCCGTGATGGCTCAGAGGATAAAGCGTTCACCAATGAGGTGAGCAGGGTTCAAATCCCGGTCGATACGAATTCCGCATCTGGCTTGCTCCGACCACGGTGCTGACATGAAATGTCCTCAGTGGTAGACGGATCATGGGGTAGAGTCCCCTTGCCGTCATGCTAACCGTGGGAGGTTTTCCTCTCCATGTAACGCGAACGCGGGTTGGTTACATCAAAAAATTCCCTACAAAAACGAATTTCGCCCAATACTTGATTCAGGAGTTCCCTTGTCTTCTGTATTGGGTTCAAAATTATTAGTTTACGGAGTTGAACATTAGTAGTCGTAAACCCAAAAATTTGGTCTGCTGTTCAACGACGGTTTTTAATAAAATAAAATTAATGTGAATGCGCGATAGCTGTGTAAAATTGATGTAGTTCCAAGGGGTGTAGTTTGTGTATTTTGTTATTCATAATTTTGTTATCCTTATTGTAATTTTGTAACAATACGTAACAATTTTACATACAATGACAAAATACTAAATTCAAGGTAACATTTGATTATTTTAGGCACTTGGTATCTGGCTCCTTAGATGGAAAACTTATAATTTGGGATACTTGGTCAGGAAATAAGGTTTGTACTAGAACTAATTTACTTTTGTACCAATTTTATTTAAACAGCGTGCTTTTATAAGTGGGCAATATATTCTGTAAATAAGTGGAATGTTATGTATAATTCACATTGACTTGAGAAAAAATTATTTTTATTCATTTATTGTGTTCATTTTACCTTATGAAGTTTTTTTTAATAATAAATCTATAATACATTTAAAAAAATTTTTTTACTTAAATATGTAAGTCATAGTTCGTTTAGGATATATTATTAAAAATATGGAAAGAAAAAAAAAACGATAAAGCTGTTGCAATCCAATCTTCGGATTCAGGTTCTTGCTCCCAATATTGGTGTACTTAGTGTATTTTTTAAGTACTTTTTTTGTATATTTATTCATTTATGAAGTACAATAACTAGATTTTTGTGGTATTTTTTAAATAAACGAATAATTACATAGCATGAAAGCTGAAGTTTTTCAAAACCTATGTTTCTACAGTAGAAATACCAATTTATTAAAAAAACAAACAGAATAAAGCATTTATTGTAAGGAACAGTCAAAAGAATTTTTGTCAAAATCATGGCGGAAGAAAGCAAACGATTTTAAAATGTTTGATTAATAAAACGATTTTAAAAGAAAAGAATTTATTCTCTTTCCTTCGCTATCATTAGTATGGTATTTTGATTACCTGTGCATCAGAAAAATTATATAAATGGGCCTTGAGCTGTAAACTAAATAGAACGATTTTTATTTTCTTCCTTTATTTAATTGTAACCACAGGGCCCGACTTAGCCTAATTGGAACCCGGGGCAAAAACCTTCTTTGGGGGCCCCCTCTGCTTCACTACTTCCGTAATGAAGAATTGAACTTAATGGAGGTATTTAAAAATTTTCACTTCATTATACATATATAACAAGAAAATTGACTAGAACCTAATATAATTATAAAGTCCCCCCCCCCCGCTCCAATGGTCAGACGAAATATCGTTCTGTCTATTTTATTGATTTTCTGACAATTCTATGTCCATCATGCCAAATGCAGTTTTTTGATTGTTAACTTTGTCATCTAGCTGAGAAAAATTCATATCCATGTTGACATTAGGGCAGAATCCAGTTAAATTTTCGCAATTGCTATGGCTCACTCAGACAAACTAGAGTCAAGATAAAATTGTTGCCAAGGTGGACTTATTCTTTAATATTTTGTTTCCCTCTAGGTTAGAATCATTCCTCTTCAGTCGAGCTGGGTGATGACTGCATCCTATTCACCATCAGGCAACTACGTGGCATGTGGTGGCATGGACAATATGTGCACCGTGTACGATGTCAACTCCAGAGACAGTAATGGCACTGCAAAGGTTAGGAGAGAGATGATGGGATTTGAAGGTTTTCTTTCCTGCTGCAGATTTCTAGACGACAACAAACTAATCACTGGATCGGCTGATATGAAAATGTAAGCAGCAACTATACGCAACTCCGGATCTCAACCTCGGTGCGATTTTTCCTTTTCTTTTCTTTCTTAAATTTTTCCAGGGGCTTGTAAGGATATGCTTGACATCTCTAAATCCAATAATGATGACTGTGCTGAAAGATCGTACCGCAAAAGCTCTTGTCCCAATTGATACAGAACAAAATAAAAAGAAATTTTAAAAACAACATGAACCTCATATGTTTCGATAAAACGCGGAAATTGGAGAAAAAAAATGTGTAAAACATCGATTTTCTCCCAATGATCTAGGATTACTGACTATAAAAGTAAAATGTTAATAAAAATCATTACTGGATTAAGCATGGAGGCATTTTCAACTCTTTGTATTTAAATAGGAATAAATAGCCGGAAGGGTAAATAGGTAGGTAACTTATTTGCGTCGCACTAGAGCTGCACAACGGGCTATTGGTGACGGTCTGGAAAACATCCCTGATTATGATCTGAAGACATGCCATCACCATTTTTATCCTCTGAAGAGGGGATGGCTCCCCTGCTTTACTAGTTTGACGACCTGCGGGCGAAGTCGAGCACTTTACGATATAACAGTTTAACGAGGAACAATACCGCGCACCCTCAGTCCCTACGCAGGCTGATCAAAGTGATCAACCACCCGCTTACTGACAGCAGCCAGTGATGTTTTAGTGTTCTACTGGGAACAGTGTCTTTACGATCAGTCCACTGCTGGACAAATAGCCGGAATTTAGGATACTTAAAAAGAAATGATAATGAAACGATCGCCCTGTTATTTGCTATACCTTAGGCTCCATGGCGAAAAGTGCTTATTTCATCAAAAGCTGTACACACTTAAGCGAATCACACTGATGATGATGTATATATTTATTGTTTATGTGTTTTAGAATGATGTGGGATTTGGAGAAGGGTGTCAAAGACTTCGAATGTGACGGCCATGCCGGTGACGTGATAAGCATGTCATTACATCCTGACAAGACCTCTTTTGTGACAGGATCTGTTGACAGAAGTGTGAAAGTAAGTTAAAACTGTTAAACGACGAATTTCAAAGTTATTCATAAACTCAGATTTAAAGATGGAAATCATGAGGTCGATGCTGACGATTGGCTGAGGTGTGTGTTTATCTGCTATAACTAAGAACCCTCGTTAGTAGCTTACTTAGATCGATGCTGACGATTATCTGAGGTGTGTATTAATCTGCTATTGATGAGAACCCTCGTT